CCCCCCCGCCTGTCCATCACCGCCGGGAAGGGGGCTGGGAAGGGGGCATCCATGGTTCATCCCGACCTGTTCCCGGCGAGCGGGAGGAGGAGGGAGCTGGCGGAGTCTCCAAGGGGTGTTTGCCTTACAGTGGGCGGGTGTGCTGAGCCGGCTGGCGCTGGAGCAGGAGCGCATCCTGAACCCCGTGCTGGACCGCGTCCGCACCGCCGACCACCACCAGCTGCGCTCCCTCACCGGCCTCATCCGCAACCTGTCCCGCCATGCCCGCAATAAGGATGAGATGTGTGAGTGCTGGGGATGAACCAGGGCTGGGGGGGTGCTTCCCAACCTTTGCCTCCCGTTATCTCCAGCCACAGCCCAAGCCCATCCTGCCTGCTGCATCCCCACTTGCAGCTGAGCATGTGGGCTGCTCCATCCCCTGTTCCCAGACGTGGCTCTGTCCCCCCCCCGGCTCTGGCCACCAGCCCTGATGTGCCGTTTGCCCACAGCCACCAAGGTGGTCAGCCACCTGATCGAGAAGCTGCCAGGGAGTGTCGGGGACAAGGCCCCGCCTGCTGATGTCATCGTGAACATCATCGCGGTGCTCAACAACCTGGTGGTGGAGAGCCCCATGGCCGCCCGCGACATCGTCTACTTCGACGGCCTCAGGAAGCTCTTCTTCATCAAGAAGCGGCGGGACAGGTGGGAGCTGCCGTGTCCTAGCCCGCATCCAGGCTCCTGTCCTGCTCTCCTCTCCCTCCCTGCTCCAGTGCAGTGGTCACAAGTTTCCCTTCCCAAGCCTTGGTGTTGGGAGTCCCCAGACTGGCTCGGAGTGGCCTTGTGGCCACCTGGTAGCCCTTTGTCACCCGATAAGCACACCCCACCATTGTCACAGCTGCCTTTTCCCATCAGGGAACCTCTCTCTGCTCTTGCCTGTTGTGGTGGGATCCAGCCATTCACATCCTGCCCTCTCTCCACCTGCACTAATCCCCCAGTCCCTCTGGGCCCTTCTGGGGTGGTTTCCTTGGGGTGGTGGGCACTGGCCCGTGCTCAGTGGTCCCCAAAACCTCATTGCATCCTGTTCCTTTCCCAGCTCAGACAATGAGAAGTCCTCCCGAGCTGCTGCCAGCCTCCTGGGGAACATGTGGCAGTACACCAAGCTCCACCGGGACTTCAAGATGGTATGTACCCATTCCAGAGCCTCCCGCAGCCAGTGGGAGGATCCCTAGGGAATCAAGGCCAGGCAGGGGCTGCACCCTGGAGAGCCACACCACTCAGACGCTTCCCAGGATATGGTGGGGCCTCACTGCACGCCTGGTTTTCTTTGGGTGTGGGCACATCCCAGAGCATTGTTCCTGTGAAGGTGGGGTGGGGACGGTGTGGCCCATCAGTGCTGGAGCGCAGGGGCTCTCTGTGCCTGATGGGGCTGTCTCCTTGCAGAAGGGGTACCGGAAGGAGGACTTCCTCAGCCTGTGAGGACACCCTGGGAGCTGGAATGCCTCGCTGGGATGCTCCGTGCTGCTGGCCATGCCGTGGAGAGGCTGCTCGCCGCCGGATTCCCGCTCTGTAGCCTAATCCCTACATCCCATACACCTCCCCCCTCAGCTGGGTCCTGTTCCCTGCCTGGGGGACACTTGTCCTCCCTCCTGCCCAGCCTTAAACCCGGCGGCTGCTTTTGGCTCTGCTGTGGGGCCCACCGGGACCCCAGTTAGGGGGGGCTGCCCCATGGCACCCCTTGGGGGCCTCCCCACTCTCAGGCAGCTGTCTACTGGCTTGTCCAGCAGCTTGATGGGGGAGCAGGAGCTGCAGGGAGCTGGGGAGGCTCCTGTAGGGCAATTCTGGGGTAAGGGGGCATCTGGGGGTGCTTCATCACAGCTCCCTGAACTGTGGGGCTGGGGGGGTGTCCGTGCCCTGTGCCATTGTGGGATGCGCTGTGGCTTGCACTTTTGTTCTGCCCTGGCTGGGGATGGGGCTTTGCATGGCTTGGGGGGCTTGGAGGGCTCTGAGGTGGCTTCCCACAGTTTATGGGGTGGCACAGCGCCTGCAGGGAGCTGGGAAGTGACACCTTGACAGTGCTGCGTTCCCCATTTGCTAGGGAGGGTGGGCAGGGGGTTGTGTCGGA